AACTACTGGGTGATTCAAGGAGCGGCTAGGCTCTTTAAATCGACCGCAAAATTCGGTTTCTTAACCTATCGCGCTACGATTTTGTGCAGCATTGCCCACAGATGGTGCTTTTTTTTTCGTAAAATTTGCAAAGAGCGAACTTACCTGTGGAAAAAGTAAAGAAAGAAAAAGACTTAGCTCCTATTGAAACGCAGCGAAGCCACCGGTCTTCAAACAACACGGCGCCGCTTCACTCGGGAGACAAGAGATGGCGCAAGCGGTCGCGATGCCAACTGCGCCAACGAACGAGCACACGACGCCGAAAGCCAGCGTCTTTAGCAGACGATCGTTTCGACTCAAAAGCGGCGCGCGTTCCGCAGGCGGCGACAGTCGCAGAAACAAAAACAGGCGCGGTAACAACAAGGAACTGCAAAGCAGACGACATGAGTACCCCAAAAAAAACAGTCAGAATATCGCGACAAACCATTTTTTAAATCGATTATTTCTCCATTCAATATGATTTATTAGTAAGGATGTTAAAATAATGCATTGGCAACTGATGTCAGAATAGCTCGCGCCACTTTTGAGTCGAAACGATCGTCTCCTAAAGACGCCGGCTCTCGGCGCCGTATGCTCGTTCGTTGGCGGCAGTTGGCATCACGACCGCTTGCGCCATCTCTTGTCTCCCGTGCGAAGCGGCGCCGTGTTGTTTGAAGACCGGTGGCTTCGCTGCGTTTCCATAGGAGCTAAGCTTTTTTCTTTCTTTACTTTTTCCTCGGGTAAGTTCGCTCCTTGCCAATTTTACGAAAAAAGTGCACCATTTGTGGGCAACGCTGCACAAAATCGTAGCGCGATAGCTTAAGAAACCGAATATCGTGGTCGATTTAAAGAGCCTGGCCGCTCCTTGAATCAACCAGTATAAGGTCGTTACTTATCTAGTCAAAAATGTGCAACGTGGCGGCGGCCTATTGGCTTTTTTACTTTTAGCCGCCAGTTTTAGCTCTCAGGTCCTCTACCTTGTTGGTATGTGCGCAACAACGCGGGTGGGCATCTTCCTGACCATTGTAGGCGATGTGGGTGCAAACCGGGCCTGAATTCCGCGAAGTTTGTAAGGCAAAAGATACGGCGGAAAGAGAGCTGCATAAAAAAAGAGAGAAGGCAATATACGATATGCGAAACTGCTTAGTTGTCTGGCAGCACTGTGCACGCGGCCACCTTGGTAGCGTCAGGTATCTTGAGTTTCGGTTTGTCAGCATTTCCACGGCATGGACGATCTGCCACAATTTGGCAAATTTATGGTTTTCTGGCTTTCGATCACCCAACGTGGACAAAGGCCCTGGGCCGTGATGTCTTTCATCTCTGAGGGCATTTTTAATTATGTTTTGATACGAATACGCGTGAAGTCGTACTGTTCAGCGGTAAACTGCTCCACGCCAATACATGCAACTCAAAGTTGTTGTTGTTTTTTTTTTTTTTTTTTTTTTTTATTGCTGCCAAGGAAAGAAGTTTTGTTTTGTTTTTTGTGGAAAGCTTTGTGTTTTTCTAAAAAAAAACTGTGCCCTGAGAAATATTTTCCAGGCGTTGAAAGAACCCAAACTGGTTTCAGATAGCATTAACCTCAAACACAGTTGACGGATTTAATGGTTCAACCCTGGCAGAATAACTGTATTGACTTTCTCAAAACTACTCCACGAGCTTCTTTGAATTAAACAAAATTTTCACCTCGGCTGCGACAAAAAAAAAAAAAAAAAAAGTAAAATGAAGTTGGCACCGCCCGTGTTGCTTCCTTCGACGCCCGCAACGTATAAGTTTTCGCCGCCGCTGATATCGAAGTTTTAGCCACCACTGCGATAAAGCAAGTCGAACGCCACGTTCGATATAATCGAACGTGGCGTTCGACAAAAAGACAGCAGGATCCCGTCTCTGTGAGTGTTGAGCACACAGACATGTCGTGTGTGTCTGTTAAGTTTTCTATTCTTCATGACCCCGCTTTATATATTCAAGAATATTATATCAACAAACTCTTCTGTTTAGTTTTAGAGTTTTTTTTACAAATCTTGGTTACTGACGCCAGATCAAGTGTATAGAAATCGCTGCAGAGCAATGAGATTGTTTTCTGGCTTCCCAAAGCAATTTTTTTAATACATGACATTAAAACGAGGGTTCCGTGGTGCTTTCAGCTTTTGTTGCACTGTTAATCATGCGCATCTTCAATTATGGTTGGTGGCGTAGATTATTAAAACTGTCATATTTTTGCCTCGCTTAACAGCCTCGGTCTCGTCCGCATGCATCGAGCTGCTTGCTCATCAAAAAAACCAAAGTCGACACTACAACGTTCAAAAAAGGAAAAAACAAATTTTTGCAATTTCGTGAAAGTATTATGGCTCAGTTCAATAATTATAATGCAATTAAATGCAAAGTTGCAAGCGAGCTGGAAAAGAATGACGAAAATAATCCCTGGAGAAGGGGAACCAAGAGGGACAAAGGACAAACACACATCTCCAAACACAGCTAGGTGACTGGTGCGCGACCGAAAAAATCCGCCTGGTTCGGGTATCGAACCCGGGACTTCTCTATTACAGGTGGAGCGCTCTACCAACTGAGCTAACCGGGGGTTAGACGCTTGCTCTACTGACGTCTAACCCCCGGTTAGCTCAGTTGGTAGAGCGCTCCACTGGAAATTGAGAGGTCCCGGGTTCGATACCCGGACCAGGCGGATTTTTTTGGTCGCGCACTAGTCACCTCGCTGTGTTTGGAGATTTCTGTTTGTCCTTTGTCCCCTTTGTTCCCCTTCTCCAGGGATTATTTTAATTAAAATAAGTACACCGACTTGACATAACAGAAAAAACAACTTCATTAGACGTTTCGCCTCCCATGCGGGAGGCATCATCAGTAGTTACACAGCAAATGCAGGGTTCAACCTAAACACAACGCTATTTATCACGTCATTTTCGCCAGTTCAATAGTTGTGAATGGCTTCACGCCGCGCGATGACGTCCTCATATTTCTTCTCGTTGTCACCGATTGTATTTGTCAAAAGCTGCGTTTCAAGTAACAAGTAAAAATAAGAAAATATTGTGAACCCTATATTCACGTTTGCGTTAACGTCACGCACGAATCCAAGGTTTCTCGCTGCATCCGCAGCGGAACGCAGCAACGCGTTGGCATCGCATCTCTCGCACGAAGCGCGGTCGCTTGTTTACATGGGGTCTTTGCCGGCTGCGTCACTGGTTTCCTTTTCTCGCCGTTACCAAGATGGCCGACGTAGTTCTCGGCGCGCTACTAGAAGGCGCTCTACATTTCCCATGTGGTCTATTGCGTCAGCGCTCCGTCCGTCTATCTGCTTCAAAGTGAAATAGCGTTTTTGAATGGCCATTTTTGAGTGCGCGACTGGGTGTGATGCTGGTTGGTCAGTAATGTGTGTATATATAGGTGCAGATGGCTGCATGGTATTAAAAAGCGCTTTTCCTTTCGTCTCTATATCTTGCTTGTCACCATTTTGTTCGCGCTCTTAAAATTTTATTCAGTATGGACCAACTATCCCAAGCTCAAGTTTTAATGCAGACCGATTGCCGGTCTTAGCAACCTAATAATACGAGCTCGTTCTGAGGGTGCTCTCGAAACAGCGCATTCAAATATGGCGTCCAGTGAATGCCCCCTATACGAGGGGCGTTCTTAAAGTTCGTATTATCAGCACCAACATTTATAGAAACCGGAACAAAACAGGCACCAACACGAGCGCTCGTTCTATAGTGCCACGGAACGCTGCTAGGGTGTCGAAACAAAAATGACACCGCCCGTCGGGAAAGTCAAAGCACGTACAGTGCTCTATTTTCTCCGTTTAAAAAGAAAATAATTTCGAGCTGGTGGCGGTGTTCAGGGACAACGTCCCAGTTTACGACAGTGTGGATAGATGGCTCACATGCTTTCGGTGTGGCCAAACAAGCGTATCAGCATTTCGAGTAGGGGTGTCGCCAACTTTTGTCGAACCAGATCTTTCTGTCGAACTTTCGGGGTTCCACTGGGTCGAACCGGTTCAACGAACCTTCGAACTTTTCATCAGATTCGACCGGTTCGACTCTGTGGACAGTGTGGCCAGACCTTAATACAAGTATGTCTAGGTTTGGAAAAAAAAACTTTTATGCAATGGGTTATTTTATATTGTGAACAGCTGCAATTAAAATAAACTAACTGTAAGCAATGAAGAAGTTAATAACTTAAATTTTATTACTGTAATAACTGAAATAGCCAATCAGCGCTGCACTTCATTCATCTCTTAGCCATTATCACCCAATCCGAAGCCAACTGGCCAGCCTGTCGCGCATGCGCACACGAGTCGAACCTCAATAGAAGGTTCGTCGAACTTTTCACTAAAAGTTCGAAAAAGTCGAACCTGGTCGAACTCGAACCGTGGCCGGTTCGCGACAAACCTAATTTCGAGCACGAGGGCCAAGTGTGATGGCTGGAGTAGACCGATTTCTGGACACTGAAAACGAAGAGCCCTGGCAATGGCCCCTGGCATGTTGTTCATCGCTGGCAAAAGTACGTGACTTTGACTGGCGAATGCGGTAAAAAAGACTAAACTATTATCCGAGTTTCGTTGCTGAATCTCTATGAACGCCCCTCATACATGGAGATTAATGGTGTCAGCTACCCGGGGACGGGCCCATTTCCTCACTGAAATTTACAGAAAATTACTAAAATTTTAATAAGATAACGATTAGTTCTGAAACTTTGGCCTCTGGTTCGGATTGATAGCGCTACATTTGGGTGGGGACTGAGCGCGGTCGGTAATCCAAAATTTGGTGGTGAATTTTACCACCGGGCAACACGCTAGGGTCGCAGCCGTCGTTGCAGCTTTACTGCTCTTACAACGTCGTTTGTGTCCACCATAGGTAATGCAAACTTTCGAAAGGGGTCGCTGCCAAATAACGATAGTGAGGAATCCCCGGATCCCAGAGAGAACAGCGCGAGCGCCTTCGTCTGCGCTTCGAAGGAGGGGACGACGAGCCCAGCCTCACCTTGTTCCAGGGCGTGGGGTGCAGGCGTGCCAGGCAGCGGGACAGCTGGAACAGATTCGTCCGGAAGAAGGTCCGGTCTCGGTCCTGGGCCAACATCCTGACAACCAGTGGACGACTGACCTCGCTGTGGCAACCCACCAGACCGCGAGCATCCGGCGTGCTCCTCTTCTTCGTCAGGGTTCAGCGCTGGCACCGCGCGGAAGACGACGACGATATATTTTCGGCCGCCGAAGTAGGGCGGGCAGTAGTCTAAGTCAAAATTGTCCCTCGAACATCTATGAACCCTCAAGGGGTCTTTGTCCGAAATAGATGAAGTGGGCACTGTATAGAAGCAGGCGTATCTTCTTGGCGTGAAGATGTGGGATTGGTCAGCGTCCTCACTATATCCTCGATATATCAAGCGGATATCAACGATATCCGCTTGGGCATTCTTTTTTTTTTTTTTTACTTTACACGAGCTTATTGGCAGTAGTGGAACCCAAGTACAGTTGCACGCAACGCCACTGACCAGGAAATCTCCTTTGTTGCGGTGTCATTTCAAGGGAAAAAAATTGTTGTGTGTACAGCCAGGGTGTCACAAAAGAAAATTTACACGGTCTTTTTTACCGCAAAAATAAACTAGGCATCGCCGAACGCTCGTTCTCCGCCCAAAGGTAGAACTAGAGGTCACAACCAGATGCCAAAGTTTCAGCCCGATCAGTAAATTGCCCTTCAATGACTTTTTGACTGGTTTTTAATTTGCACTGAACCTGAGCTTACTGAACGTAGTAACTTAATCCAACTTTTCTTTTCTCAAATTTCGCTTTATTTTAAAAGTTATAGGCAAATTAGAATTACAAAAACAAGCAAAAAATAACCTCCTTCATGACGTCGTAGGTCCTGCCTTGAGTGGCCTTGAACTAGAGGAGGAGTAGTGAGCTCATCGAGCGCACACGGCTGCCGCACTCCGTGTCGACGGCTCGACAGGGCGCCACTAAAGCACGTGTTGCAGAGCCGTGTATTGCAAGGACGTTGCGTGTATTGGGAGAGTTTGTCCAATAGGCGGAGCAAAGGCCGCCGCCAGCGCCGAATATTCCCCCCGCGCTTGGAGCGTAAACTAAATTTGTGACACAGCGTCGACCAATCAGGAGACCGCGACGTCACAATATTGCAAACGGCATTTAAAGCGTGCAATAGAAGCGTTCAATCTCGGCCTCTCTACTCCATCTCACAAATGTCTGCAGTAAAGACAAAGGCACAGGCGCGCGAGCCTAGCTCAGCAAAACGCTTTTGTTTGTACTAGAACTCGTGCATAGGAGGCACTTTCCAAAGCCACGCGCTGGTACCCATGCCTTTGTCTGCATTGCTGATGCTTGTGCAGATGGAATATAGGTGACAGCTCGCTCTGGGCCGGCTTGCTATACTTCGTTTCAGCTTCGGTCCAGACGCAGCCGATGCTACAAGCGCGAACATGTGGCCCAGAACAGTGCTTGCACTGCACGAGCGCGCGTGCTCGTGCAGTGCCGCGTGCTCGTGCAGTCCCGCTCGGCTCGTGCGCTGGCTTTGGCAGCGCTTTCTTTCCCCGCCTCGGCTGAGACGCTGTTTCTAGCAAGTCGGCCCTGGTTTGGAACGTCCGTTCGTTTATTCTACACTTGAATATTGGCGTGACTAAACCCTCACATGCCCAAAGTTTTCAGTCACCGAGAGCTAAACCTTTTCACTCTAGCGACGCTAAAACGGCTCAAATTAGTCGTGTCACAAACTTAGAGCACACGACCACCGCTAGGGGCTGTTTCGCGGCCTGTGGTTGGCCCCGAGATGCCCGCCTATTGAAACCAATGTATGGCCAAACTCTCTCAATAAATGTCTCTGACGTGTTGGATAGGCTGTATGAAGCGGGCGGCCAGGGCAGCTCGTATTGCATTTGCAGCGCGACTAAACACTAATTCGGCATAACATTTCATTGGCCACAAACGACAGCAAACACGGGGTAAAGGTCAGTTCAGAACGGGAGCCACTTCGCGCTGACGCACCGCCAAATGGCCAAATCGCCAACAGGGCCTGCGCCGAAGGCCTTCGGAACGCTCGGAACCGGTCGGATTCTTGAGCCGGTATACGAACACAGCGCTGCCGCGTACATCCGGGATCTTTCTACGCTCCTCATTTGTCATAGCCTCATCCACTGATCTCTATGACAATTGCTGGATCGCGCTTCCCCGCTTGTTCGCTGCAGCGCAAGTGAAGCCACCGGACTTCACTCGCTTGGGATACGATTTGCCGTTTTTGCTAGCCTTTGCTGCGGTTTTCCAGCGTGCTGTAGACAGGTTTTCTACTCGTTCGTCGTCATTCGCCGAGGAAGTTTTTTGAAGACTCTGTGTATTGTTGAGACTTGCCGTTGTGAACACGTGGAAAATTTTACGAAAGTGCAGTGTAGCAGGAAAAAGGCACAACGCGTCGAAAGGAAGGGCTGGCGGCGTGTTCAAAGCTTCCTTGGCACGCCGAAGTGCCGTGTCTCTGTGCCAGGGCCGTAACCAGGGGGGGGTTAGGGGGTTCTGACCCCCCCCCCCCCCCGAAATTTTTTTCTGGGTACGGCCCTGGTCGGTGCACTTGCAGCCAGCCGATTTTAATCTCCACCTCTGCGCACGCGAAGTGGCGCCGGTCGGCTACCCGGTACCAAACCGGGACCTGTTCTCCGGTTTGCTGCAACTCTCCATTATATGCCACCGATGCACATGATTCATAGGCGAAAATAAGACAATAAACACTTTCAAAATGGCCGCCGCTGTCCCCTCCCCCCCCCCCTCCCCCCCCCCCCCCCCCCCCCGAAATTTTTTTCTGGGTACGGCCCTGAGTCTGTGCCTTCGCACGCTTGGATACCGACCAAGAACCGACGCCGTGTGTATGTGTTTAGCGAGTGCAATATGCGTGAAGCTGTTCGAGCCTCTGGATCAGCGTCTTTTCCCCTCGCGGTTTAGGAACGAGCTTAAAGGCGGGCGCTCAAAATTTTCTTCAGCGTGGCAGAAGATTCCCCCTCTTTTCTTTTTTTCCTCCTCCCCTTTCCTCCTCCATTTTCCTCCTCGCTTTTTCTGGCCTTCTCGCACGAGTGCTAACGGGCTTACCGGCCCCCCGGCGAAATCTCTGTAACCCTTCAAGGTTCTCTGCTTCAATCCCAAACAGGGATTAGTTAGGCAGGCTGGATATGAGCTCGGAAGGGTTCGGGCTGGCTCGCTTTTCTCCTTTTTTTTTACTTTTTTACTCGTTTTCTGCAGCTCTAAAACACACTCAGATAGTCAACACCAACTAGCCCAACAACAAGCTCTTTTACATTCAGATACTACACCGCATATTTATCTCGAGTGAGCGGAACTTGAACATCACAGCAGAAGGAAAAACGATGGGTATTTTTATCTGAAATTTGAACTCTACCCAGAGAGTTGAAAATTGGTCGTTCTAACAACGGCACAGTGAAGAGTGATTGTGTCACTATTGTGTTCTGTTTTTTGTACAAAGTAATAATCATGAGTAATTACAAGTCAAAGATATTGCAGTCAGAGGGACACAGTCTGGCCGTTTCTGGGGCATAATATATAGGTTCTTAATACAGGTGTTTTCTGGAGTGACGGCCGCCTCGGTGAAGCTACTAAGAAGATTAAAAACAAACTTCCATAAAAAGTGAAACGGTTTATGGTATATTTCATCTATCTTCAGCCCCTGGAAAAAAATTCTACGGGGCCAAACGTGCATTTAGTTTCTGTCAACAAATGTAACTGAAAACTCGACAGCTGACAAATATCTCGCGTATCAGCAGAGAAAACGGGAAACACGAAGATTGAACCGCGAAATCACAATTTTCTTTGCATAAAATGGTGCAACTGGCACTAGTAGCACATTATGCCATTTATTAAAAGAGAGCAGTTATTACGAAGTTTTCATTCTCTTCTGTTCCCATTTGTTCGCAGATTAAGAAATAGGATGCCCAGATAGCCTCCGCAGCCCTTGCATAATTGTTCGGGGCTCTGTCAGGTTGGGCGAAGGCCAGCGACCATCTCCAATAAACCCAGGAGTTCGGAAGGTGTACTAACGCAAGTTTTGGGGCTGCTTGGATAATTTAGGCGCCTGGCGTTCCCCGCCCACTTAGGAAAGAAGCGGAACAGCGGCCAGCTCAACGTCGTCACCAAGCGGGAAATCATGCCGAAATGTGTCCTTGAACACGTGCGAGATCTTTGCCCGAACCCAGCCGGGATTCGCCACAATTCCTAATTATTCTACGGAAAAAAAAAACTATAAAAAGGGGTAGGCTTAAACGATTTGTGAATTTTTTTTAATATAGTCATGCGGACTAACTGTCCACAAGTACAGAAAGAAATGCAGTAGAAATGCAGAGCTCTATTGTGTTCTTTATGTCCATACTTGTCTTTCGCGCTGTACGCCAATTAAAATAAATTCTGCAATATCTGTAGATTATGCCTGGTTATTATGTCTTTAAAAGAAAAGTAATCAAGCAAGTTCGGTATCGTGCCACCCAATTTGTGCAAATACAATTTTATGTGGAATTCAACGTCAAAACAGTACTTCCGCGGGAAATAATGCATCCGTCGTTCTTCGCCTTCCTGAAGCTATGAACTACCGATCTCGGCTACAGGACTTTTGGGTCCACAAAATATCACGCTCAGTAGAAAATTCGCCTTTTCTACCAAAAGTACTGGAAATAATTTATTTTTCAAACAGGTCGGGTGGTGATGCGTGTTTGAGTGTAGGACCGTTGACTGGGCACTGGTTTGCGCAAAAAGTGCAGTGCTTCCTTTCATGCTGCCTGCGACGAGTGTTGAAATTTGAATATAGTAGAAATAAAATCAACTGACACTTTTAGAATTATTTTAAACTTGCGCTTTCTTCAGGTATTAAGATTTTGATCGTACCTATTATTCATTGTCGTCTTCGATGAGGGAACAACTTGCCAAGGAGGCCGCGCTGTCCGCGTACGCGGCTTGACAAGTAAGGTCGCGAATGCTTTTCACAAATCTTTAAAGACCAAACATAAAAATGAAAGACGCTTACAAATCTCTGTAACGCGCAATTAGAGCGTAGCCTTTTTAAGCAAATGAAACCAACTTTATGTTTTGGGCAGACGTCTTCCGAGAGTTGCAGTATTTTTAATTATGCCAAATAAATTAAATGTTTAGGACTAAGTACCAAACTTTTTTATATGTATTAAGAACCGAAATGGTCAATTGGAAAGTTCTAGAGTTCCT